TCTCTTAAAAGTCCAAGTGAAGAAAACCAATTAAGAGGTGATTATCCATATTAGAAATGGAGATGGCTTTAAAGAAGGATCCACTTAATTATTCCTCGCCAATGTCCAATTCTTCTCTCTCTCTCTCTCCCCCTCCGTAGAACAGGCGAAAAGTGTTTTAGGAAGCATAGTTTTTTTTTTTTTGTTTTTTTTTAATGTGTAAAGAAACCACTAAGAAGGGAGCACACACAACTAGGACATAAAGCAAAAATCATCTCTAATGCCGTCAAATACTTATTGACCTTTACCAGGCTGAAAAACGTCTCCCTTAACTGTCAAGTTTCAGCTTAAGCAACCACTAACCTTGGTGGCTTGTGTCCCCCAAAGAAAATTTCCTATTTATGTAAAACCTGAGCCTTCCTTAGGAGATGATAACTGCCCTTTAACTGGGGTTTCGAAGATGTAATCCGCATATTCACATTTTTTAGAGATCTATGTAGTGACAGAAGTCCATGATGGGATGGAGGGGGTCATAGGTGAGCGACAGAAACAGTGAGGTGAGTGTGAGAAATGCAGCGGATTTAGGGGGAGAAAGGGAGGCGGAGGTGGAGCATGATGGATTCTGAGGGGCAATGACACTTTCTGTATGGTACTATTAATGAAATGGTGGGTACATATCCTTATACATTTGTCAAAGCCCACAGAATGTACAACACAGAGACAACTCTAATGACAACTGTGGACTGTGGCTGACAATGACATGCTAAGGCAGGTTCATTGAATGTAACAACAGTCCCGCTCTGGTGCTGACCGGGATGTCAATGATTGGGAGTCTGCATGTGTGTGTCTGGAAGGGCTCTGTGGGAACTCTGCACAGTTCTCTCAATTTTTTGTGAACCTAAAACTTCTGTAAAAGCAATCAAGTCTATTTTAAATAAAAAGAAAAGGTGCTAACAGCATGAAAGGCTGTGATGATATTGAGCGGGAAGAGATTGGTACCTACTGAGTTTGTCTGAGGAGGAGGAGATGTTGGAGCCAGACCCTGAAGGAGGGAAAACACTTGGATTTGGATTCTTATCCTAGAGAACATGTTGTTAAACACAGGAAATGACAGTGAAGAACTTCAAGGGCCCGAACTGAGGGGAATCTTCAGTGCCAGAGTGAGAAGGCTGATTTCTGTTCTCTAGGCAGTAAGGAGTCATGGAAGGTTATAAACCAGGGGGTTTAATGATGAGGACCCTCTAAGGTATTTAGTAAAGTGTGTGGAACAGAATTTGAGGCAAGGATGAGGACTGAAGACCAAAATCACAATACAAGGCCAGAATCACAATGCAAGACCAAGTGACGGGTGCTAAGGATGCTTAAGAGGGTTCAGGCCTTTGAGACTAGAAGAGCAGTGAAGCCATTACCTAAAACAGGAAATGCAGAAAGAGAAGTCAATTTAGGGTATGACGAAGATGCATTATTTTGGTGTGTCCACAGACTATTCATGTGGAGATGTTTAACATGCAGCCACAAACGTAGTTCTGAGGCTGAAAACATTTTGAAGCAATCAGTAAAGAGATTTTATTTAAAGCTTTAGGGAGAGTGTAGCTATAGAAATTGATAATGTCACAAAGGGATTCACAGAGAAAAAGGAAATGGTGACAATCTTCAGGAAGAAGACTCCACAACAGAGTCTTGAAAAAGAACTAGAGAAAGAAGAACCAGAGGGAACAGAAAACATTCTCTCCTGGCTATACTCAGGGAAGTACAGACACCCACTTCTGTCATCACAACTGACTTATTTTTAAGTTTTATTTATTTTTAGTTTTTAAAGACAGGGTCTCATACTGTCACCCACGCTGGAGTGCACTGCTGACCACAGCTCACTGCAGCCTCAACGTCCCGGGCTCAAGTGATTCTCCCACCTCAGTTCCTTGAGTAGCTGGGACTATAGGTGCATGCCACCACACCCAGCTTAAAAAAAAAAAAATTTGTAGAGACAGGGTCTCACTATGTTGTGTAGGCTGGTCTCGAACTTCTGACCTCAAGCAATCTGCCTGCCTTAGCCTTCCCAAAGTGGTAGGATTATAGGCATGAGTCACCACACACAGTCAAAACTAATTTATTATGTACTTGCCTCATTTACTGTAAGGGCGCAGACACTGTCAAGCCAAACTTTCCAAACGTTGACAGCCTACGACAGCGAATATAGACATGTCCTTCCTGTCTGCAGTACCGACTTTCAAAATACGATCTCAGAGCATAAATATGTGGTCGACCGCATATTAATGGTTTCTAATCAATCCACCTCTTAGGCGTTCACGCTCTTACGCAACCCCTTCCTACAGCAACTCTGGTCCTGGCCACAAGGCTTGTGTTGGCAGTGGGACACCAGCAAACAAGACCATAAGCACAAGCCTGACAAGCACTGAGCCCTGGGCTTGTCCTTTTGGAAGGCGGTTACACAACAGCCCCAGCCCCAGTCATTCCCCAGGTGACTGCGACCATGTGAGTGAGACCAGAACTGCCCAGCAGAGCCCAGCTTAAATTGTAGAATCCCCAGCAAATAAAGAATTGTTGTCTTGGTCCACTTATATATTAATAGTATTAAGTAAGTAATAAAGAGCCTTTCTTCTTTTGAGACGGAGTCTCACTCTGTTGCCCAGGCTGTAGTACAATGGCACTATCTCAGCTCACTGCAACCTCTACCTCCTAGGTTCAAGCGATCTTCCTGTCTCAGACACCTAGAAGCTGGGATTACAGGCACGTGCCACTATGCCCAGCTAATTTTTGTATTCTTAGTAGACAGGGTTGCGCCATGTTGGCCAGGCTGGTCTCGAACACGTGACCTCAGGTGACCCACATGCCTCAGCCTCCCAAAGTGCTGGGATTACAGCCGTGAATCACTGTACCCAGACAAGTACTACAGAGCATTTTAAAGGTGGAGGCAATGTATGCCTATATAGGGTGGCATGGAAGAGCAAACATTAAGGAAACTTTAGGTTTGGAATAGAAGTTATATTTTAAAACCCACAGAGGATTCCAAATGGCCCCATGATTTGAAACCTACGTTGCTGCCTCTGGCACCTTTCTCACTCAATTGGCTTTTTTCAAATTGTTATATCCTCATCTGTTGATCCCATCCATAATGATCTAAGACACAGATTTCATAGTTTAAGAGCAGAAAGGACCTAAAGATGACAAAAAGATGAATAAACTGAAGCCAAATAAGTGACTTATTCCTAAAATAACACAAGAAATTACTTTTAGCGTCAAAACCAGAAGCCAGACCCGCTACGGCTCAGCTGATGTGCCTTGGACTATGCAAACCTGCCCAGCCATAAAAACACATGCCGCACAATAGCCTATCTAGACTCTATTCATAGATTTGCCATCTCAAGAAAGCCAGCCTCTTGCACGCCCTAACGCACACAGGGTATTTGTTCTTTTCTTCTTTATGCAGTGAGGCTCAATGGCTGGATGGAATCATCCAGGTGGCAAACAGCACAGAGCAAGACAAGGAGCACAAAGTACACTGGCCAAAAGGCGGCAGCAACCATGTTGCCCAGACACAGTAAGAACTCAGACCCATGCCACCAAAGCAAAGCAACTCGAGCACAAAGAGTAAAATCTCACAAAACATGTTCATTCGACATTTAGTCTTGATGCCCATTGAGGCGCATGATGTAAAAAGTACTTATTTAAAAGGATCTTAACAAGTATACTCTGAAACAGATACTTTCTGGTTCACAGAATGATTCTGAATGGATAATCTGAAAATAAGTGCGAAGGCAGTTCTGCAATGGATCTGTAAGTGAAAACCATCTCTGGAAAATCTGCCCTTGGGAAATTCTGAGTTCCGCAATTTGATAGGCTAATTCTGGCATCACCTGCCTCCAGCACAGTCCTCTGGGACCAAAGAACACAGTGGAATTTGCACTAATGATCTCCATGGGGCTCCAGGTGGGTTGCATTCTGGATAATAATTTGCACTTTGAACCAGATTTGATCATCCTGGTTGACTGTACTTGCTAATAATGAATGAATAGAATTTATGATGAAAATAAATATAGAAAGCATTGGGTTTCAAGAAATATCCTATATAATAGAAAATTAAGTACATCATAGTAAATGAACTCGACTCTTCTCTGCCACACTCTCCCCTTTCTTTGAACAATCTCTTCTGCCTCCATATTAAGTTACTGTATGGATGGCCGTATTCTTTGGTTGATCTGATCTCAATTTATAGCCTCTCTCAATAACTTCTCCTCTCCTCTTTCCAGAATCAGCCTTCCTAACTTGAATTATTATTTAAGTATGTCTTAAAGTATTTATATTCAAAGTAAATACATAACCAAAAGGAAAGAGCAGGAAGAGTTCAACAGAACCACTCATCTTTCTTCTTTTTCCCTTTACTTTCTCTGGATCCCATCTAAATATTTTCAAAATAAGTATCTTAAAAGGAAATTACCTCTTAGTATTCTCCTAGTGAACAGAGATCAATTTTTAGGGGGGGAGGAGAAAAAAACCCATATTTCTATTGTTAATGTATGTTCGATGAAAAGAAATTGGTTGACATACTTTTTTGGCTTTTGTTTTTAAGTAGGTGGGACCTTGAAGTTCAGTGAAGGACAAAGTCCAAAAATCACAGTGCCTGAGAATATATATTACAGTTCTAGGATTAAAAGTATTATGTTCAAGTAAGAATCTTAGTAACGATCTGCATTTTGTAATTCTCATAGGTATCTAGTACTTGGTTAAAATCTTTTTTTGACAGTATTTTTGTTAGTACTGCCCCGAGCATGTGCTCTGCTAACAGGGCCATGAGAGCAAAACTGGAAGGTATATTCTCAAGGCCACCAGAAGCCCTAGCCCTTCAACAAAATCCAATTAACTTGATTACACTGATATGATCGACAATGACTTATACTCAAGATGTGGTGGGTTAGGAGATGGAGCAGAAAGACTCCCCAATAAAGAGCAGCCACCAAATCAAAGACATTAGAAAAAAACAAGAAGTGCGCAGAGCAACATCAGCTGAGCTTGCCAGAAATACCCATTTACTTTATATTTGAGAAATCAAAAGAAGTTTAAAAAAAAGAATTAACATTTTGATTAACTTAGAGACACAAAACGAACATAGTTCTCTAATTTCTCCATTCGAGAGTTAGGATTAAGAGTTTTTTTTTTTTTTTTGAGACGGAGTTTCGCTCGTTACCCAGGCTGGAGTGCAATGGCGCGATCTCGGCTCACCGCAACCTCCGCCTCCTGGGTTCAGGCAATTCTCCTGCCTCAGCCTCCTGAGTAGCTAGGATTACGGGCACGCACCACCATGCCCAGCTAACTTTTTGTAGTTTTAGTAGAGACGGGGTTTCACCGTGTTGACCAGGATGGTCTCGATCTGTTGACCTCGTGATCCACCCGCCTCGGCCTCCCAAAGTGCTGGGATTACAGGCGTGAGCCACCGCGCCTGGCCAGATTAAGAGTTTTTTAAAAAGTATGTATATGTCCAACTGTTCTTAGGTCCAAACTGACTTAAAAATGAGTAGGGGAAAAAAAGTGGGTAATATACTTAAGATTACAAATTGGCAAGAACATAGTGTGTGCAAAATTCACAGAACACCTTGAAATTTCTTTAAAATTAGAGCACTTTTCACAACACAAAAATGCCTCAAACTTTCCTAACTAAAATCCTTAAGTGAACTTATTTTCTACAGCAAATAAAAGGAAGTTCCCATAGCTGAAAACTGAATATGCTTTTACTGATTTAATCCCTTCAAGAAACATAAAAGGATTTTTATGAACATCATCATCAAAACCAAAATGTTGTAGGTGGGTGCGGTGACTCACGCCTGTAATCCCAGCACTTTGGGAGGCCAAGGAGGGCAGATCACCTGAGGTCCGGAGTTCGAGACCAGCCTGACCAACCCTTCTCTACTAAAAACACAAAATTAGCCAGGTGTGGTGGCGTATGCCTGTAATCCCAGCTACTTGGGAGGCTAAGGAAGGAGAATCGCTTGAACCAGGGAGGCGAAGGTTGCGGTTAGCTGAGATTGCACCATTGCACTCCAGTCTGGGCAACAAGAGCCAAACTCCATCTCAAAAAGAAAAAAACTAAAAAGTTGTATTTAATTCACAAAAGCAGGGATAAAGTCAGGTAATGTCTTCATCCACACAAATTCACAGTCCCTGCTGCAGAACACGAAGAACACGTGAAGGAAATTACTATGCTGAATTTCATCCAATTTCCAGCCACATTTCAATTTTCAAACTTAATTAAAACTGGAGGCTTTACCAGGAAGAATCAAATATCAATCCAATGGATGCATGGATGTGTCTTTTTTTTTTTTAAGGAAAAAGAAAAATCAAGACATCCTAAGCAAAGGATTAACAGAGCTTTGGTTGGAATTGAAACCCATGAGTTAAACAGGTGTTTTGAATTATCACTTTTATTAAAACACAATCCTTTACATGAAGCTCACTAGATTTTTAAAATTATTAATTTTAGAATATTGAAAAAATGTTTGTTTGACTTAACAGGGACTCATAAATGATCACAGAAGGATGATAGGTATTACATTCGGGAAATTCACTCCTACGGTATCTCCCTTGTTAGCACCAGGTACTATTTTTGGTACCAGAAGAAACCCTGGCAACAATCAGGTGCTCTTTCTGCACACAGAAGAGCACCTCCCAGTTGGGAGATCCATCCCGCAGGAGCCTCAGCTTGTTTATTCAACACCAGGTCCTTTTAATGTGTGTGAAGCATGAAGGGTTCTAAGGACAGCAGCTGTGGGGAAAACAGGCTGGCCAAGACCCACTGCCCCACAAAGGGATCCGGGAGTGGATTATGCTGATGCTGTGTAGCAGGGCAGTGTGCCCAGTGACCCGTGCGGAGCCTAGGGGATTGCCTGCCCTCTGCATGGAGTTCTGCTGAAAGAGACAATGATGGGCACATCCTAATATCCAGGCTTCTCACTGGATCCAATTTATTTACCTTCTCCTCCGCCTGGGAAAATGGAATCTAAACTGGGTGATTGACACTGCGTTGCTTAAACATGGCTCAGTTTTGTATTCCCTAATGCAAAGTGGAAATAAAGTGCAGATGAAACAGAGAAGCAGTGCAGTGAGATGAAAGGAAATGATGTTCAATATTCTGTATAAACACAGAGCAAGGATATGGAGCCCAGTGAGACCTAGTGGAAAATTATCAGCAAAAAAAAAAGTAATGAAACAGATAGAACCGAGAGAAAGATTTGGGAGAAATATACAATTTAAGTTCCATTTTGAAAAAATATTTAATGCCTCCAATTATCTTATATGATCAAGCCTCATCAACTCAACAAATGGCAATATATGCTTGTGTAGCAGCAATGTTTTTAAAATTTATCATCTTAAATCTTAAAGTCTATTATCTCTTATGACACATGAGACTGCAGACAAAAACAGCAGTTTTAGACTTGGAGGGCACCTAATCTAACCCCTCATTTATAAATGAAGAGACTGAGGCCAGGGCCACTCAAGGAAAAGCTGAGTGAAACTCCAGGGACTTTCTAGCTTCTACTCACAGCCTGCACAGCAGGGTCCGAGCTTACCAAGGCCACTTTCCGCCACTACACAGTCCATCTCAGTAAAAGAATCTATACTAACATAATGACATTGACATAAGAGTGAATTTTTGTTCTCTTACATAGATTTCATGTTTATTTACTGTATACTTGTCCTTTTATTTTTTTTAAGATGGGGACTGGCTCTGTCATCCAGGCTGGAGTGCAGTGATACAATCATAGCTCGCTGCAGCCTTGAACTCGTGGGCTCAAGTGACCCTCCCACCTCAACATCCGAAGTAGCTGGGGCTAGAGGTATGTGCTACCACACTCAGCTAGGTTTTTAAAAACTTTTTGTAGAAACGGGGTCTGGCTATGTTGCCCAGGCTGGTCTCAAACTCCTGGCCTCAAGTGATCTTCCTGCCTCAGCCTCCCAAAGAGCTAGGACTATAGACATGAGCCATCAGCCCGGCCTACCTTCTTTTTTGAATGCTCAGCTCACCACCCACATCTTACCCTTCCCTGAAGAACAGATCTATCCTCTGGCCATCACAGAGTTTGCTCTGCAGCCATAACTGTTCAGGGCTGTCCAGGGCTGGCCCCAAGCCCAAAGAGGCCAATTAGTTTTTTTTTTTCCAGGATCTCATCTTGGGACTTTCACACGTCACTTAATGATGAGAAATAAAGAATAGACACAGTCATTGTTCACCAAAATTTGGCCTGGAGGAGGTAGAGATGCAGATGGAAGCAGAGGTGAGAAACAGAGAGGTCCTGGTAGCACCTGCATCCCTGGTTCCAGCTGTGCTGTGGGCTCAGCCATACCCCTTGCTCCATATCCCTAGCTTGGGCCTCCAGTATGCACCCTGGGATCCTGGAGACAAAGCCCTCTTTTTGCTCAGTTTGAATTGAGTTTCTGTCACTTATAACCACAGTCCTATAGCACTTCCAAGTTTCACTGAATTTTGAAGATATTTAATATCTAGCATGTGGTTTCAGGCAAACCAATTTATTCTGGCAAATAAAATCATACCAACAAAGAATGTTAGGACAGGCTGGCAAAAATCAACCTTGTCACTCAAAAATCTCACTAATAAGTATTTAATTAATTTAATAATGAAACATTACCACTTGCAACTTGAGAACTTTTAAATATAATTATATTCTCAAATTAGGAGTATTTATAACAATGTATTTATAAACAGATTTGTGTGTGTATATTTATGTGTATTTATGAACAGATCAGTGTGTGTCTGTATATACATACATAACAAAACAGATATTGTTTTGGTATGCTAATAAATACACTATTCTATTATATATCTGTTGTGTGTATTGATAAACAGATCAGCATGTGTGTATACGTACATACACATATCATTCCTGCCAAGAAGTTTTCTTTTGTGCAATGCAAATGTCTCTGATTACATCTTAGGTCTATTTCCTCTCGTCTGTCTGCCGTGAAGATGAGGAAAAGCTCATACACTCCTGAATATGAGACCTGGGATTACCTGCCTCTTTCATTAAGCAATTTTCAAATGGCTCCAGCACTGAGGAGGAGCAGTGGAAATGCCTACTTCTCCCTGTGGGTGATGAATACCTCATCAGGATGGGCACAGACTGAGGACTTGGCTCCTGGAGCTCCAGTTTTCCCAACTCCAAGTCCGAGGCCCGTTCTCCCCACTCACCTCCTCGTCCCTCCCTCATCAACTAACTCCCTAGCCTACAGGCTGCCACCCTACCTCCTGTGGCAAATCTGGCTGCCAGCTGCTTTTGTAAATAAAGTTTTATTGGAACAGAGCCAGGCCCATTGATTTCTGTGTTATTTATGGCTGTGTTTGTGCTATGACGGAGGTTTGAGTCATTGACAGAAACCATATGGCCTAAATACAGTGCCTAAAACACTATCTTTTTACAGAAAAAGTTTGTTCACCCTTAGATCTGTCTCAGGAAGGCAGATTAATCCTGTCAGGCCTTCCATTCCTGTTTAATTCAGTTGTTACAAGAATACCAGCCACCAGTTGTATTCAGCTCCAAAGATCACCTACCCTGACCCAGTTGACCTGAACCTTCCCCATCCCAAGCCACCAAATTTCTCCCTGGGGCTCTCCAAGAGTCATAATTTCTCATTAGAAAAAAATTAACCTCTCGCCGAACGTTTCTTTTCATGCCAGCCAAATTCTGATTCTCAAGGATCACACTTCCCTTGCAGCCCCCCTCAAGTTTTTTTCCTTCTGCCTAAGAACTGCTGAACCAGGAGATGGAGAAGGGGCCCTGTCCTGACCACTCCCAGACCCCTATTCCCTCCTCCTTTCTGAAGTGGCCACTCCTCTGAAGCACCTACCATCACATTATACCATGCCTATGCCTCTGCCTCTTGGAAGGCTCCTGGCTACCTCCCCTTCCCTTGGAGGGTTTATCATCCTCCAAAACCCAGCCTGTCCCACCATCTGCAGTGTAATGGCTCTCATTTTTAAAAACATTTCTAGCCCTAATCTCTCCACTGAATTCTAAACTCTTGCTAATCAGCATCCCCAGTTGGATCTCTAACAAGCATCCCCAAAACCAAACCACTCATCCAAATCTGAAGTCCTAAAGTTTTTTCAAAGAAAGATGGAAAGCTGCTTTTTAGATGAGGCTTTATTGCTCTCTAGCCAAAGCGGAATAGGAAATGCAAGGCTTCATAACTACCATTATTATGACTCTCCTCGTTATTTCTTGGATTCTAAGGAGCCTATTAAAAGTGTGCATATGTCCCCAAGTGCCATTTTCATTAGCACGGTACAGGGTAGGAGAATCAAATTTAAGTCTTGTCAGATAATTCAATATCTAGACTCTAAATGTGTGTGTGCGTGTGTGTGTTTTCAGGCTTTGTCTTAAAGCAAATGTGTTACTATTTTGTGAAAGGCTTTTGGGACAGAAGAGGAGGCAGGGACGCAGATAAGAAAGTGAAAAGACTGAGGTGGAGAAAAACAGGCTCTCCTGGGATGTGATGACAGAGGCATCC